TTCCAATACTTCAAATCTAAGAATTTATACTAGTTTCCCTTACATTTTAAAATTAGCTTACAGATGCTGAGGATGAGCTCCGTGTAGAGCACTTACTTACCTTGGTTTCGATCCTCAACACTGCAAGCAAATAAATAAACAGCAGTTATAATGTACAGCATCAGGATTTAGTCAGTTTCCTGTCTTTGTGATCAAATACTTGACACAAACAACTGAAAAGTAAGGTTTATTTTAACTTACGGTTTCAGAGGTTTCAGTCCACAGTCAGCTGACTCCAAGGCAGGAACATTAAGGCAGAAAGGCTGGCAGAAACAAGCTGCTCACCTTGCGACAGCCAGGAAGAGCCAGAGAGGAGGGTGCCAGAGACAGCACAACCCCAGTGACCTACTTCCTCCAGCTGGGCTTCACCGCCCAATAGCCCATTCAGCTCTGAACTTGTCATCAATGGATCAGTCCACTGATGAGGTTAATGCCCTCCAGACCCCATCACCTCTCCAGGCCTTGCCTCTGAACACTGCTGCCGTGGGGACCGAGCCCTCCAGCATGAGTCTTTGGGAGATGCTTCATAGTTAAGGCATAATAAGGGCTGTACATGCTACACTGGAAATTTGTAAGAGTACGTTTTACATGCTCTTACCACACACACACAAAGGTAACTGTATGTAATGATGGAAATATTTATTTTAACTATAGGAATCATTTCACCATATCAAAATATCATGTACATCATTAGTACATCCCACAAGTTTTTTAAGGGCTCAGTGGTAGAGACTTTGCCTAGCATGGAGGTCCTGAGTTCAATCCTCAGCATAAACAATATAAACAAATGAAATTAAGTTATATACCCTGTTGTGACACTGACAATTAACTGAAAGAGCTGTTGTTGGATATGGTATAGACAGAGGGGAACCCAGTTCATTTTGTTAGAGCAGTGGTGAAGGAATCTCTTCATTTTGAGCTCTCTCAGTGTTGTATTTGAAAAGCTGCAACAGATAGAGCTCATTTTCTACTCATTGCTGACAGGAGGAAAAAAATCATTTGCAAATTCCTTCGCTGATGATACACCAAAAATAAATGCAGTTCTGGCATGAGGTATAAAGCAAATCATGGTGAAGCAAAGTGGTGTGGCATACAGAAGATATTTTTACATTTGAAAATCTTGAGGCATAAGATGTTTTAAAAATATCTTTTTATAAGCCCCATAAACCAGAATTGTTCCTCAGCAGTTTGCAGAAGTCAGGATTGATATGGTGCTGTAGAGAAGTATTTACCCAAAGCCAATTTCTGTACAGTTTTACAGCTACCTCAACTCCAAGTCTCTGGAATTCTACGCAACCCTTTCAAAACCTCCAAGACACTCGCAGCATTAACTTCCTCAGCAATACCGAAGGCCTCTCTGTGCAAGGCATTGTGCCAAGGGCTACAGAGGGGAGAAATAAATAGTACGGCACCTTCCTATGAGGAATTACTGGGGTAAATCCAAGAGTGCTGAGGAAGCAATGCAGAGATAGAAAGACAACAGTGACAGATGGCACACGGCAGTGATAAATCCTGTGTATCTAGAGAACCACCAGTACAGGAGGGAGGGCTGACTGATGCGGTTCCCAAGCTGTGTAAACAGGTTCCCTAGCATCCCCTAATCACAGCCCGCAGCACACACGCTTGGTGTCTCCCCATCCCAAAAAAGTTCATATTCAAATCTCAGTCCCCAAGTTTTTAGAGGTAAGTCACAGTGGTGGAGAGCTCATGAGGGGATTAATACCTTTACTGAAGACAGCCCAGAGAATCCCTCCCCGTAACACCACCTGAGGACACAGGTGATGTAAGGAAACAGACTTTCACTAGATTAAAAATCTGCCAGCACTTGGAGCTTCCCAGCCTTTAAAGCTGTGAGAAATAAACTTGTGTGTATAAGCCATCCAGTTCATTTTGTTAGAGCAGCCTAAATGGACTAAGACAGTATGGGAATAGAACCTGAAGGCAGACCTAAACACCGCACTTTGCTGTCAGGAGAGGTCCCTGGGATTTGTAGGTTACCCTCACTCAAGGTAGGGCCCTTTGAGTGTTTCATTCTGCACTATTAGGGGCCATGCATAGTTTAGTATTCACGTATTTAAACTGTATTTGAAAATCTTGCCTGGCGTGGTGGCTTATGCCTGTAACCCTGGCACTCTGGAGGCTGAGGTAGGAGGATTACTCTGAGTTTGAGGCCAGCCTAGGCTAGTGTGAACTCAAGGCCAGCTTGAACTACACAAGACAATCTCCAAACAAAATGAAACACATACATAAAACAAAACACAAACAAAAACAAATTAAGAAAATTTCCTCATATACCCTACTAGTTCTGTCTTGGAGGCCAACTCCACCAAAAGGATCATGTTCCTAGTTGGCTAAAGTTCCTAGGTTCTAAAGCCTCCTTCATACAAACCTTTCAGGGTTTGGGAACAAGTTCATTCACATCTCCTTTCATGAACTCTACAAAACCTCTGAGATTTCACTTTCCACATATTGCAGTTTCATATTTTACTCAGGCCCTGAAGCCATAAAGCTGGGGGAAGCTGCTACTTATTTCCTCCATGACCAAAGGGCATAGCCATTAACTTCTCGCTGACTCCATTCCCTGGCCTACCTTGTATAGGTGCTTGACAGGAAAATAGGAGTTTGTTCTACACAGAGCTAAGTTATTAGCTTCTTTTTTTTTCTTTTTTTTTTTTTTAATTTTAAAGAGTAAAAGAAGGATAACATAATAATAGGAGGGGCTTACCAAATTACAGACAAAGTAGTAGGAAATTATCAATGGTTATTGTTTTACATATTGTTATCTACAAGATAGTTTCTCAGGAAAACAAATAGACAAATAATAATGAGTTACAGACAAAAGATGTAGGAGACTATCAATAGTTGTGGTACTATACTTTGGCATCTTCAAAGTGGCTTCTAAAGAAAATAAATAGAGCTATACATGAGTGACCTATTGAATAAGCATTAACTATTCTCAGTGGTTGTTGTAGGAAATACATAATAATAGACATGCATCCATTTACAAAATAGGATAGGAACAATACAAACATTACAGAGTTATGGATAGATTGGTAGGAAAATATCAATGACTGCTGTAATACATGTTGGTATCTTCAAAGTGGTTTCTCAGGAAGACAGAGATATGCAAGAAGGATCCAACAAGTAGTTACAGCCTAAGGGTTGTCAAAAATAGCATATTACCTCCTCACCAGCGACTCCTGTCACTGGGGTGTGACGGCTGGAAGGCCAGGATTGAAAAGAAGGACCGAGAGACTTGCACCTGTGACTAGCAACAGGCTGTTTTCTTGTTCCTCCATAGTCATGATTACCCAGGGCTCCTCCATGGAGATGACGGTCTGGCCAGAGGGAGAAGGCAGAGTATGCCCCAGGCCCTCTCATTCCTGTTGGACTAACTGGTAGGATGGGTCTGAGCTCTGGGGCCTCTGCTTCAGAGGGCAGACTGATCTCCAGTGGTCACCTTTGCATTCAGGGCTTGGCCCGTGGGGCCTCATAGGGCAGTTCCTCTTGAGGTGGCCTGGCTTTTAATAGGGGTAGCAGATGAATGCAGTCGTCGAGTTCTTCTTGCACAGATGCTGTACATTAAAACTCAATGCCCGGGAATCAGACTTGGGATCTGTTTCTCGTAGTGCTGCAGCAAAAGCAGCTGCTTTTTCTCGGTCTCTTTGTTTTCTCTCCTTGGCCTCCTCCTCGTCATGGCTATAGAATACTGAGGATGCAATTCTTACTAACATCTCAAGTGAGCCGTCAGGGGCAAAAGCCATTCCTTGTAGCATTTTCTCTCCAGCCTCCCTTCACATTGGGTAAGTTATTAGTTTAGTAAGGAAGTTATTATTGTAGTTAGCAAAGAGACTGCTTCTTGCCAGAAAAGTTCCTCTTATTTTTATTAGATTGTTTTATTTTATTATGTTTGCAATACATGGTGATTACATTCAGTTTGGGGATTTGATTCATATACATATCCCATCTTAACCATTTTTCCTCCTGTCCCCAGGAAAAAGTCCTTTCCCATTTTTTAAAGAGAAAAAAAACCCCAACATTTCAAAATAATAGGAGAGTAACAATGTTTAGTACATTGTGTATTGTTGTCTTCAGTTACTTGGAGTACAAGATGTCGGCATTTAATTGTCCAAATATTAGCACAAACCTTTCTTTTCAATGAACTAAGAGAAATTAGTAGTATAACTACCTTACCTATCTTTTAAAAATTCCTTTTCTAAAGAAACACCTGTTCAACCAAGAGTCTTGTGCCTAAGAAAAAGTGCTCATTTGCCTTTGAAAAGGCACACACCAATAGGCTGCTCCCAGCCAGAACTACTGCCCATGTTCTGCACCATGTTCTTGTGGGAAAAAAACTTAAAATGAGCTGTTTTGCAAACAGACCGCGAAGCCAATGCTCTGTGGATGCACCACCTAGCGACCAGAGGTGGAACTGCTCTCCACCCTCCTCAAACACCTGCTAACAGATGCTGAGCTTCAAAAAGCCAGGTCTTCAGCAACATACCACCAAAGTGACTTCATTTCCCTTTCAAGTAACCTGTAGCTAGTAAATAATCTGGAAACAAAGCAGGCTGGTCTCATGAGATTTACGGAGATATTTCTAGTATATCCTATAGCTTCTGGATGTGCTATGCTAGTTATAGTCTCTGTTTAAAACTCAATACTCAGATACTCAAGTTTGAAAGGAAGAATGCTAAGAAATTTTAGACATTTCAAAAGCAACTGTGAATAAAATCCACTTTGGATTGCTGTTCTGTCCAATAAAGATCTATAACAGATCTGTACCAAATCAATTATTTATCACACTGAAACAAACTTTCCAACATTTCTGTGTCAATAAGCCAGCCATTTATCACTTTGTTAAAATGGAATAATGCCCTGAAGAATATTTTACTTCTTAATAAAAAAGGTAAGTTGCTAGATTATTCAAGGTAATTTAATATAGAAACAGGTCTACAGTATTTCTTAAATTTGTAGTTTTATTAAAGTTTTCCGTACTCCTGCAAACTTTTACATTAACAAAATGTAAATCATGGCAACCAGACACAAAAGTTCTTCATTTTTCTTTATAAAGACCAGACTATGCCACAAAGCTTACAGCTGACTGAAGCATAGGTAGCTAACTCTGTTCAGCTAACAGAATAAAAACCTGTCTCTGCAGTTGCAGCTGAAAGGCTTTTCAAGGCAGATGGCAGGCAGGCTGGAGACACAAGGAGAACGGTGTGACTTGTACAATATAAAACTAACATCACTGAAGTTAAATGGACTTATCACCACGCAGAATTTGTTCTGGCTCTAAGTTTACATTTTTTCACAGAAAAAAATTTCAGGCAAATAAAAACAAATTTCAGGTTAGCACGGTTCAGTGTTTCACTTCTTTATTTTACCTTCATCAAGGCAAGCAAAGTACAGATGCTGTACATTAAACACATACAAATACGTCACTCACACCACATGAATTCCTACAGGCCGGACACATTTTCCGAGTGCTGCTCCTCTCGGAAGCACGGAAGCACAGCTAAATGTACAAAGAGCCGTCTGCTGGTCCCACGTAGCCGACTCCGATCAGCAGGACGTCTATGAGCGTCCATATTCCCAGGCCGCCGAAGCTGAAGAGCTTGCCGAGGCCTTCGCGCCACTGGCCCAGGTAGAAGCGGTCAGCTCCGAAGCCACCGAGCGTGATGCTGCCAAGGCAACGTGGGAAGCACTCATCAGCGCAGCCAGCTGGGGTTCAGGCAGCACACGGGGTCACACTTAGGGAAGGGGTTCAAACGGTCACAACCCCTCACAAGAACACGCACGACACGCACAAAGGCACAGCACCAAATAACCACACGTAAGGAGACTGTTACTGAACGCATGCCTATGGCTTAGCATGTTTACTACCCAGCACCCGAATAAAGTAAACACGATTTTTAGCTATGCTGAAATATGGCATTTTCTTTCCCTCGAGCCAGGTGAGCCGGCACATGCCTCTTACTACAGCACTTGAGAGGCCAAAGCAGGAGGATCACAACTGTGAGTCCAGCCTGAGCAACTTAGTGAGACCCCATCTCAAAATAAAAAAAAGTGCTGGGGATGTAGTCTGTGTGATGGTCCTGGGTTCAATCCCCAGTACCGCAAAATCAAAACAAAATGAAACAAAACAACCCAGCCTGGATTACGGAGCAAAAAAGCCATCTTTAAAAAACAAACAAACAATCTCACTGCTTTTTACTCAAAGCAGGGCCCCAGCCCGACAGAACGCACGCAGACATGCAGTCAGGAGCTACCGTCTAGCGCAGTCAGCTGACTCAGACTAAGTCATCCAATTTTTTCAGACACTCTTCTCTAAAGCTTTTCTATTATAAATGAATGACTTCTGTGTTACGAATGTAAGACTTTTATGGTTCCTTCAAATTCTATGATCAAACAATACTGGGTCAAAATGTATTATGGGAAATTTCCAAACATATAAGAAGTAGAAAGAAAAAAGAATAGTATCATGAGGCAGCTCTGATAATGATCCACGGTGGCCAACCCCGCTGTGGATACTGTTCGCCTGCCCGACCGCACCCACAGAGCCGCCAGCCCTCCGTACCCAAAGGAGGCCACACACCACAGATTCAACAACCGTGGACCAGTCACTTGGGGAAAATGAACTGTGCCTGTACTGAACACGTACAGGCTTTTCTTCTCGTCCTTATTCCCTAAACAACAAGTACAGCTACTACTTACGTAACACCTACACTGCACTCTGTACTGAAAGTCATCTAGAGACACTGAGCGCCTGCAAGAAGACCTGTGCAGGTTATTCGCAACTACTACGCCACTGAGTAGCCAAGTGGGTCTGGAAAACGATACCCCAAAGATAGCGAGGGACAAATGTACTTTGCAGCAAACCTTTAGTCATTATATCATTTACAGTGAATAATCTGAAGGAAGCTATGGTGATGTCTGAGAAGGAAACTGCTCTTAATCTTTAAGTCGGTTTTTACACGTATCACAGTAACGTGAGACGTCAACCACGTAGGGGACTCTGGGTGGGAGGTACACAGGAGCTCTCCACCCTTCTGTGCCTTTTTCTAAAATTATTCCAAAGTTTTTTTTTAAGTCAATTGTTAGTTTTATTTGGACCACTGCAGATCAAGACTACGTATGTCCAGTTATCACATTTTATTTTGTTATATCTAATTTCTGTCTTGGATTCATCTCTTATTTTCCAGTTATACCTTCTGGCCAGACAGAACTCTTTCTCCTGCCCAAACCCTAAGGCGGTGGTTCTCAGCAGGGGCTATTTGTGCCCTATGCTGCCCGTGTCTGCAGACATGCTGTGGCCACAACTGAGGGCTGGAGACGCTGCTGACAAGAAGCAGCAGGGAAAGGCCAGGGGTCTGCTAAGCCTTCTCCCACGCACAGAACAGCCCACAGCAAAGAATCCGGCCTGAGTCACCGTGAGAAGGCTGAGAGATCCTGCCCGTCTCACACACTGCACACTGCAGGGGTCAGATGGGGTCCCGGGACTTCAGACGCAGACAGCTGACTTTTACATTCACCATTTAACCAGGGCCTGCCTGCCACGCTCTTTAGTACGAAAGACTGACTTTTACACTTATTTTTAAAACCATGACAAGCTTAACATTACATGTACACTTTCATGTAAGAGTTGTAATTCCATAATTGTTAGGATGGCAAACTTATAGGTCATTTAAGTATTTTTCTTTATTTTTCCAGCTTTCAGTACTGAGCACTTTTTTAAAAAGAAAATTACTTAAAATTTAAAATACACAATTATAAATCTACACATTTTAACTAGTCTAGTGCAGTTTACTAACTCACGTACATTTAGGACGGGAAGCCCCGGCTAGTTCTAACACTGTAACATGACGCAAGTCATCGCCAGAACAGGGAGGCATCCTGGGATCACAGCTAACACGCCTGCAGCTACATTCCACAGAGGGACTGCTCTGACCATCGGCCCTCCCTCAGCCATGTCTCCTAGAGTCTATCTAACACACACGGTTCACCTGCCTGAAGGATAATCCTGGCTGAGGGTAATGTCTGGAAAATTCCAGAGACGTGTAAATGGCATTTGTAACTTTTAGTACCAAAGCTCACCTTAGAGCCAGAGCAGTTGACCACTTGTAGCCTCCAGTCCAGTTGCAATACAGCATTTTGTGAAAAGTACGGTTACCTTAAAAAAAGAAAATACTATGCATAAAAACACGGATCCAAAAACACTGTCACAGACTTAACTAATGGCTTCGTAATTTAGCACCTAAAAGGTCACCTCTCGTTACGGTAAGCGATGCTTACTGTGGTTGATAAGCACGAAGTCCTTACCATCAAGAAGCACAGACTTAATATTTAAATCAGGCAAGTTAGGGTTACAGCTTAAAGGATGTGAAATGACTCACCAGATATCAAGACTTGGTGAAGTTAAGAGTAAGTAAGACGGTGTGGTGCTGAGACAGATAAATCATCCGACAGGAAGAGTGAGCCCAGAACCCGCACGCACAAAACACCTTACCTGTCACAGAGGTCACATTGAGATGGACTGCAACAACTGGCTCTTTCATGGGGGAAAGAAGTAAAGTTAAACCTACCTCAGACTATCTACCAAACCCAATTCCAGGTGGATTACAAACTTAAATGTAAAAAGCCAACCTTTTAAATTTTAAAAGAAAATGCAGGAGATTATCTTTATAAACCTGGGCTGGAAAAGACTTAAACAACAAAAAATATTAATTATAAAAAGACTAATAAACTAATTGTAATTTAAAAGTTCTACTTATCATTAAAATATTCTCCAAAGAATGTGGAGAAGAAAAATTAAACTTCGGGTAAAGGTCTTAGGGATACCTACAGTTAGTATCAAAAGTATAAAAGAGTCCCAGAAATCTTTAATAAAAAGAGAAAGATAAGACATATGACGAAAGTTATGTAATACTGCTGGTGGGAATATAAATTAGACCATTCTGGAAAACAATACCTGCGGGACAGTAGATGCTAGACATACTCTTGCGCATATCTAACCAGGAGCTAGGTACAAAAGTTTTAACAGTGGCTACAAGAGCTCAAAACAGCAAATAATCTAAATACCTAGGAGAACAGATAAAGCATGCTACCATCTTACAATAGATTATCCTATAGAAACAAAAACAATAGGAAGATCCCAAAGATCAATCTTAGAGCCATAATGCTGAAAGGAGTCTCAGACCGCAGCCTGATGTCATTTTATCCAGACCTAAAACTTGCCCTAGTGAACAGTGTATCACAGTATATTCCCTTACAGACACAACTTATTAGCACCAAAGCTTTAAGAAAAAATTTAAAGAGGAAGTAGACCATAAAATCCAAAAGGTTAACTGCCTGGGAAGAGACAGAGCAAGTGGGCGAAAGCAAAGCACTTAGCTAGCCGCAATAGTATTACTACTATACCGGTCATTAATCTGAGTAAAATCCAATTACTGTTTTAGACCTTAGTCTTTCTTGTCTTGTCAATATTATATTTAATAAGTAAGAGAAGTGCAGGACATTTTATTTTAGTCCACTGAATATATTAATGAGGCTTATCACATCTAAAAACCTGCTGACATTTTTAAGCAGAATTTTAATTTAAAATGTCTGGTTAAGGTCCCTGCACTAAACGTGGAGAACAGAATTTTTCTCACAAACTTCCTTGTCTCCAACTTACCCAAGCAATGAATGTGGTCTCGCACTGTGCAGTTGGCCCTGTATCGCTGCCGGGGACAGGAAACCGTCATGCAGCTGGTGGAATTGGTGCATTCATAATCTGTTTCAGGAAGCTGCCAGCAAAATCTGCAAGTCATGTTGATGATGAAGTTCTTTTGGGGTTTGAAGTCTTGATCCTATGTACCAAAGGACACAGAGCTAATCAATCATAATATGGTATCTGCCATTATGTCAGTAAGTCTACACAGTCATATGGTACAAAATTTCTAAAACATTTATATTTAGAATCTAGTAGTAAGTGGCAGAAAAATGGGTACCAAAACAGTGTGCATGCAAAACAAACACATATACAGCATGATCTGTAATCATAAAAATATACACTCAAATATATACTGTCCACTTATGGGAAAAAATCTACACAAACCCACATTAAAATAGCAGAAGTTATTTCAGGATAGTAACTTTCTTTTTGCTTAAGTAACAAGGATGTACACTTTTGTAGAAAAAAAGGGAAAATTATTTTATAAGTCAGAGTCACATAGCTAGAAGAAACAGAAGAGTGCACCAGCTGAAGGTCACTGAACTGCAAGTCAGGCGGAGAGCCCAGGTGCCCTGACCCAGCCTGATGCTTCTGCAAGCCCAGCACACTGCCTCGCTTCTGAGCTCCGATCTTCTCCAGCACCACTAGCAGCCTGTCTAGCTGTGTCTAGCACCTCAGGGCTTGGAAAAACCACATGACAAGTAGAGTCTGCATTCCTAATGTTAGACGCTTCCTCTCACTTGGGCTGCCTGTTGGCTGACCCTGCCACGTGCTCCAGGAGATGGGAGCAGCAGTAACAAGCCACGGATGCGGACGGCAACGGGAGATGGCAGGGAAGATTGGAACTTGGGAGCAAGGCAGTGCACTCTGCTTAGAGTCATTAGGCTGGGGTCAGGGAGCCTGGACTCTCCAGCCAACCTGCAGCTCTGTGACGCTCAACAACGGTAATCATCTGTTCCTTCCCACAACACATCTACCTGGAATTTATTCTGGACAAGACAGGGATTCACTTAACTTTTTTCCAGAGAGCCACCCAGGCTTTGCAGCATTTACTGAATCCATCTTCCTAACACTGAGAAGACTGACCGCATCCATCCCAGACTCACCCTCTATACGAAGACTTTACCAGCACCTCTGTGCACCAGCCCTCACTAAGAACTCTGAGCCCATTTGGGGGACACCTGCCTCAGGTGTGCTGGTAAACTCAAATCTCCAAGTTCTACAAAGCAACATTTCTGTCACACAGACCTGCAGCCCACACCAACCGGGCTTGTCAATTACCATTACGATTGAACAGCCATCTGATGTGGAAAGGAATGCAGGATATTCAAGTTTATTTTGCTTTCCAGGGTAGTTATAAATATTTCAGAATCTTGTCCACAACAGACAAGTCTAAACCGCATTTTTTTTTTTTTTTTTTTTGCAGTGCTATAGTTTGAGCACAGGTTACTTCACTGTGTTCACCACTGAGCTACGTCCCACTCCCTAAACTGCACTTTTGAGATCTGCAAGGCACTGACTCAGAGTAAGTGGGCTATGGTACTTACAACACAGGTAACAGAAGGCTTCACTGTACAATCAAAAGTGACAGGCTTCCCATAGATGCAGGAAAAATTCGTGGCGCAGTCTATACAGTCTGCAGGGAGTCTGTTACACAAGCCATTGCTTGGACACTTCATCATATAAGGTGGGATTTCGGTACTTTCTGTGAGAGGTGAGAGAGTGGCTTATTTTTTAATACTAATTTGAATAACAGCAAGGCAATTTTCTTAGGTGAACAGATGATCATTATCAGTAAGACACTGCGCTGGAATGCAAAAAGAGTTGGAGTCAGAGGCAGAGGTGGCTACAATTAAAGCAGGGTCTGACACCAGCCAACTCTGTGTCCTGTGAACACAACACCGGTAGAAAGTATTCACTCCTACCTCACAAGTGGTCACGAAAACTCAAGGTGCTCATGTACAAATAATGTACTGAAAGTGTTGGAGCTCAAAAAACCTACTACTCATAAGATTAAAAAACTCAGACATGAAAGGGTTTATGCAAAATTCCACAGTCTGGCAAAGCTGGAACCTAAACCCAAACCCTTCCATTTCCAGTCCAACATTCTTTTCATGAATTCACTGATTGGGAAATGAGGCTACTGACACCCTTTGCACCAGCCCTAGAGAATGTTCTCTGTTATTACTCTACATTGGTATTTCAACACGCCACTGTCTGTAATGTACAGTTTTACACTACTAAAGTTCAAAAGTTCCCTATTTCAATAATTTATCTAAGTTTCAACTTTTATTCCAGTCAACCCAGACAGGTACGCAATATATTTTTATTAGTTGAGAGGATAAAAATTCCAAGTATTATTAAGAAGACAGGCTTTTTAAAAAAAAACCTAGCATTTCTGTGCTTTCTCTGAAAACTATGCATTTTAAATTTAAGTATGCCACTGTCTTTCATGTACAAACAAGAATAAGTAAAATATTTCTGATAGAACTGAATCACTGAAGCAGTGAAACTCTAAAGGGATGAAACTACAGAGACCAAGTTTCCATTTATTAAAACCCATGAATATCCCTTTAAAACTGGTCCTTCTTAATGCTGTTGTACTAAGTGATCAACTTTACAAAATATCACTCTTTTCTATTATTACTGGTATAGGGCTGAAACTGGACATGTGAAGATTGCCTAAGCTGAAATGTAAAGCCATACTAACCTTACTGTCTTAAAGAAACAAAGACCCAAGAAGGGTGACTAATTTCCTCAGTCTCCCAAAAGCACCCCACACCTAGACTCCAAGGGTCTATCAGTCATTCTCCCAATTCACACAGTACTGTAGGAGCCTTTTAGCTTCAACATCAGGAAATGGGTTCTAGAAATACAGTAGACCCTTGGCTTACGATTCGTTGGGAGGGCTGGTTGTAACTCAAGCTGACAACTGGAAGCTCAGGCTCCTCTACACAGCCCTCAAAGCCTCTCTCCTGCATACAGGCAGATCCCACTGTCCTTAGACACTGGCCCATTTCTCACTTAACCCCATTCAGGAAAGCACGTTGTAATGGTCCTTCCACAACTCTTTAAGAGTTAAATCTGTATCTCAGACCATCTGGAGGCACAAGTGGCTGGCACTCTGGTCAAGACTCTGGTCACAAGTTAAAACTAAAATTCTCGTCATAATCCAAGTTGTTCAGGATTATGCCAGACCGTTCCTAAGTCGAGAGTCCACTTATAAAACATTTTTTGAAGGCAAAGCAGGACTGACTAGAGGATATCTTGATGAAGTACGTGGGAAAACAGTAGATACAAGGAGACAAATAGAAGGAGCACGAGACAGTAGAAAGGTGTGAGGCAGGGATGTTAAAACATATTCAAATGCCAACACTGCCTAAAATACATTACATAAAATAGTCAAACATAAAGTAATTTTGTATAATAAAGCAAAGTTTTTTAAAATCAAAAACAGAAACTACTTGACATAAATATGCACATTTACTAGAATAGAAAATGTCTAGTACCTGCTGCCCTGGGAACTACTGTGAAGGTGCGCGTTGGGCCCGGGTCCTTCACTGCCTGAGTCAGCGGCTGCGAGTGCTCTAAATGTAAGGATCCACAGTTAGAGACGCTCGTTACCCGGGTACGGAAACCTCGGCTGTGCAGCTACAACGCAGGGTCCACACTCGGCCAGGACCCTAATGACAACCTCAGGGCTTGCCTGCCAAAGGACAGGAAGCTAAGAGAGCGAAGCGATGACAGGGCCGACACCGGTTCGACTCTCCGGGCAACTGGGGACCGGGTGGCACGGAGTCCAATTCCGCCGCCCGGGCTCAGCCCCGAGAGCCCGCTACCCCTCGGCCGGGACGCGCCTCCTCCGTCAGCTCTGGGCCGGCGCGGACGCTTCCTACGGCTCCGGGAGCCCTCCTACCACCCAGCCCTCGGCAGCCCGCGGCCTTTAACTCACCACCACCAGACAAAATGTAGAACTGGGAGAGGAAGAGCAGCAGCCGGCAGGAACGGCGCAGATCCCGCAGCTGACCCGCCGCGGCCGCCATCTTGCCGGCGCGCGCACTTCCGGGGCGTGGCCCGAGGAGCCGGGCGCGCACTTCCGGGGCGTGGCCTGAGGAGCCGGCGCGGGCTCGCTGCAGCGGTTGGGCTTGGGCGTCTGGGTTTACCACCTCGCTGTCGCTTGGGCCTCTTCTCCTCGGCCGGGAGTAACCAGGTGGCGGTGGAACCCCAAGACTGAGATTGCTCTGACCTCATGCGTCCCTCATCTCTCCCCTTCTGAGCCTGGGAAAGGATCACCTGGGGACTAAAATTCACACCTGAGGCGACGCGAGCAGAGGCGGGCACGGTTGGCCAGGCGCCACCCTTGACGGGGCGGATGTACGCGTTTAGAGATTGCTGCTCCGTGGGAGGTCCCGTGCGAGGGTTCCGATGGCTCGTATTTCACTTGGTACTTGTAACGGCGCGAGAGGAACCATCCGGAGACTGAGGCTATGGAAAGATCAGGTTTTCTTCCTCTGCCTACAGACAGGCTGACATCCGAGTGTCAGCAGATATCTAACGGGGGCACTGAGCATGTATAGGTTTTGAGGTTGGGGGTGCAATTTTAAGGAATCTCAAACATTCTAGATAAAGTGTTTGATTTTAAGGCCTTAAGGGCAGTCTGCACAGTTTGGTACACAGAGCTGGCGTCAGGGCACTGCAAGGCGACCTTAGCCGTACATTGGACTTTTTGTTGCCCTTGTTTCTTGTTTACCAGGGGCAAGCTGTTGCCAGTAATGGAGAATCCACTGTTTGCTGTGGGCAGCCTAAGTCTCTCTCAGGTCATTCTCAGGCCAGTCCTGACACTACTTATTTACCGATGAGGACACTGGCCCAACTGCGACAGAAAAACCAGCCCCGTGGTGACAGGAGACCGAGGGACTCACCCCACCCGGATCCAGGCGCTCAGCCAGCCTTAGCGTCACCCTGGCCAACTCCTCGAGGATGTGTGCTACTTAGACCAAATTCCTCTTGATTAGGAAAGGCAGGACAGCCTAGAAGGACCGGGCCAAGAGCTCGGGGTGTGGGATTTTCACTCAAGGGAGGGTCCACGCAGCCCTCTGGAGAAAGCCTGCCTGTTCACATCCCAGGGCACTCCGCAGGGTGGGTTAATGTGCTTGGCTCTCCTCACCCACTTGCCCCAAGGTCATTTAGTGTGGGGACTTCAGATTCCCCACATCCTCATTTGCATGAATGAAAAAAATATGGAATGGTGCTGTGCAGGTTAAGTCCTGGATAAACTTTAGCTTTAAAAATTGTATCATGATCTGCACTTTATGTCACTACACGGGTTTGATAAAACCACAGTTTTGTTTACCATTTGTTCACATCCCCCAGGAAACAATAATATGTTGAAGAGAGATCATTTCTTGGATTTATTTTAAATTCTGCAGCACCTTGCCAAATATTGAATAAATATTTCTTGATAACTAAGCAGCTATTTGCCTAAAACCATTTTAATTATGTTCTGAGCAATAAGGTATTTTCAGTTAAAATCAGTAACCATTTGAGTCTATAAATCAGTGAAATGTGATCCTTTCAAAAAAAAAAATTTAACTCTGTGTCTAAGGCTGTGACTGAATCACTGGAGACACCATTATGCATTTTATCTTGGGAATTTATTTTTTCTAAAGGTGAATTAAGAATTAGCAATTAGAAGCATTAAAACTGCAACTCTTAACCAGCAGTGCAAATAAAAGATCCCATAGCAATGAATTTCTTTTAAGATTCAGAGCCCTTTATCAGTAACCCAATATTCAGTGCTAGTTGTTTCTTACAGTTACTGCTTAGTTTAAAACGAATGATTCCAATTTGGGAGATAAAGTTTCAGTGTGAACTTTGGTAATATACAGCCATAAAAATACCTGAGACATAATATTACTGGAAAATAATATTGTTTTCCATATTCAAAACAGATTTGAAGACTTTTATTTGAACCTTTTTTTTTTAAATGCTGGGGCTTGAACCCAGGGCCTCAGCTGTTCTAGGCAAGTGCTCTACCCCTAGCTACATCCCCAGCCTAAAGCCTCCTTTTCGAAAAATCACAAATCTTAGCAATAGCTTTCCATAATTTTCATTTCCTAGTGTTTCCTTCTTCCAGTGAGTAACATTTCACCACTGAGGGTGAAGACATTGCAAATGTGCAAAGCGGCTCCTCTTATCATTGTCAGGACACATTAATGAATTTAGTGCTGTATACATCATCTGCTCATTCATCGTTTCTTTCTCAACTGACCCCATAAGTGAACCCATCAGTGCGTCCAAAGTAGTTAGAAGTACTGACATGTTAACTGTTTAAGAAAAATACATTTTTCAAAGGCAAAACAAGAAGCGAGTACAAGGAAAGGTCTTTAAAACTCTTCCTCAGCATTTAGTGTTCGTGATTTCTTGAGAGTCTTCAATTTATCAATGGCAGAAGTTATTGAAATCTCTCCATGAATTTTGTTGTCTCTTGTTCGAACATTTACAGCATTATTTATCTTTTCCTTTTCTCCAACCACTATAGAAAAGAGAAAAAAAGGGTATTTTAAACCAGTGATTAACAACTAAGTCAACAGTTGCATGACACATGCCTGAGTTTTTCCTGGGTAGAAGTCACTAAATATCAATCTGATGAGCCTTGGAGAATCTTGAGAAGGAACAACTTCTGATCCAGTCTCCGTTCTGCTCACTTGAGAGAATGGTATTATGGCCTTGGGACACAAATGGGAGCAGAGGACTCTCACAGACACTCTCAACTGTCATAGTTGAGAAGTCAAAAGATGGACATGACATCCATGCCAGCCAGCCAACCAGAATTTTCTGGAACGTGGGAAGAAAGCTTGTTCTCTCTAGTGATGCATATTGTAAGATGATCCAGGAATCTGCAGCCATGTCTACTGCCCAATGGAAGAAGAAACTAGTCCATAGTAAGTGGAATAAAGTAGATATTCAAGACAAGTGTCAAGGACCGCAGCAAAACAAGCAGCAGAAATGTGGAGAAATGGTTCCTATAAGCTCTTGGTAGCTCCCAGTTATTCCTCCAATGATCTGGCTATTTAATTCTACCTTTCATGTGACCCTCCAGTACCTTTCCAATAAATTCTTTGTCCAAACTAATTTGGATTTCTGTCACTACAACAAGCCTGGTTGAAACGTCACAGTCTGTACTACAGTCAGATATTATCAGTGAACAAATGTTGACAGGACAATTCCATGCATATTCAGATTTGCTTTCGACAGTCTCCTACAGGAAATACCAGTACGATGCCTGCAAGCGTATCAGTGTTGGTTTCTCTTGATTTCAAAATGATTTTTAAAGTCAAAATTTTAGATTCTGTATCCAGTAATTCATGTGCCACTTATTTTTTCCTTTTGATCATTTTAAATGTGGAATCTTTTCCACTCATTTGTTTAATCCCCAAGATTGCGAATAAACCTGAGAAGCAAGGGACAGTGTTTCAGGCCTGCCATATGACCGAAACACAAGGAATATAATTCAACTGAAGAGATTGTTTTCAAATTCTTTTCATCTGAGATGTTAGTTGTTGTAATACCACACCATAAGACTCTTGTGCAACTTTATAGCTTTTCTTCCAGTAAATAACAAAGGGCACCCAGGAACAGCTAACCCATGACTTGTCTTTGTATTTAGTAGTCAGATTCTGATTATCAAGGAGTTATACCATATTACTTATTTTGCTTTTTTAGAATTAAAGCTAAAAACTAAGTATTTGAAAAAATATATTACCCAAAATAAAATTATACTGAGCCAACTGTGCATTTCGTATTTTCTTGTTCAGTGTACAACTGTCATCTAAATCAATATCAGCCATAAATCCTTCTTCAAAAAATTCACTGGATACCTAGGAGAAATGGGATACTTTGTTATTACATTATTTATGGTAGCCAGACTCAGAAGCACCCTCATTGCTCCCCACCTCCTGGTTTTTACAAAACTGTGTTGCTCCCTCCACCTTGTACCAGAGTTGGTCTCCCCACAGCAAAGGGCAGAAATGAGGGACATCATTTGAGACAAGGGTGTGAGACCCAGCTTCTGTTTGACCAGATCACTTACTCTGTCTGGGGGAAGCCAGCTGCCATGTGGTGAGCACACTCAGGTAGCCTAGCAAGAAGCCCACACGGTGCGGAGTGCAGGTGTGTGTGAGTGAGCCCCAGGGCTTCTGCAGCCTGCTGGCAGCTGACCGCAGCCTCAGGAGATACTGCATCAGGGCCAAGCAACTAAGCTGCTCCAATTCCTGACTTGCACAAACTGTGAGATAGTAAGTATTTGTTGCTTTAGGCTTCTAAGTTTTAGAGTAATTTGTTATGCAATAACAGGTAATAAGGTGGTTTTCCCTCATGTGGAAAAAATATTTTAATCATGATGTAATGGCTTATGTCTAGATGGCCCCCCAAAACTTCATGTGGTCACATGTGGGGCTTTTTGAAGGCAGCTGGATCTAGGGTGTATGATGCTAGGATTAAGGCTGCCCCATCCTGGGCATGAGTGCTACCTGTGCTAAGGATGAGTAGCCTGGATAAGATATAAGGGACAGGAAGAGGGTCCCTGCTTATCACTTGCTGCTTCTTCACTACTTTGCTGCTGCTTCTCTATTTTGCTGCTTTGCTGCCTTGTGCCCACCATGAACTGTATCTCCTCTGTGATGCCCGTCTGCCATACAACCCTGCCTTGGAGCCAGCCAACTATAAACTGAAACCTCTACAAACTAAGCTAAATAAATTTTTCATCCTTTAACTTAGGGTATTTTGTCTCAACCATGAGAAAAGTAACTAAGACATATGAAATGTTTCAAAATACCAGTTTCTTGCCCGAGGGGTGTACTCCTGTAACCCCAGCACTCAGGAGGCTGAGTCAGGAAGATCACCATGAGTTCAAGGCCAGCCTGGGCTACACAATGAGTTCAAGGTCAGCCTGAATTACATAGCAAGACCCTGTCTTAGCAAAACCAAACCAAACCACCAATTTCTTCAAAACATAAATAAAATAAAAAATAAAATAATTCTGATATAGCTGCATAGACATGCCTCATGTGCTACTCCCAATTACAGAAAACGTAAGTTGTTAAACTAATGTGTCAGTTATGCAGTATTTAAAAGCATGAATGAGCTGGGTGTGGTGGCGCATCCCTGTAATTCCAGCACTAGGGAGGCTGAGGCAGGAGAATCACCACAAGTTTCAAGGCCAGCCCAGACCACATAGCCAGGCCCTGTCTCAGAAACACCAAAATAAATAAATGAATAAATAAATAAATAAAAGCATGAATGACATTCCAAGTCAATGACTTTCGTAGAACACACAATAAAGTTATATGTATTTTAAATAGATCTGACTTTACCTTAAGTGCATATTTTTCACAAGTTGGCCCCACAGGGATGACCATTACCTGACGTGGAGATAGCCAGAAAGGCCTGAAAAGTATATAAAATATGTATTTTCAAAATCATTTCAACAGGATCACTTACTATGTGATTTTAAAAAAAAGATTTTTTTTAAAGTAAGACTTCGTAAGAGAGTAAATTTTAGAACGGTGTGGAAGCAAAGCAAAGCAAACTATATCAAGGGCTAAAAGGCAATACAGTAGACAAAAGGGGAAGTTTGCAGTCTTCACAGGAAAGGAAAGGGAAGCCTGTGCTGGAGCACAGATGGAAGAGTAACCATGAATTTACACCCTCGGGCATTTATCCTAGAGATGCAGACTTGGGTAACACAGATCCTGTACACCAACATCCACAGAAGCTTTATTATAATAGCCAAGACTGAATACACCAAATGTCCTAGTGCAGATGAATGGCCAAACTGTGGGTGGATAGAGGAGTGGCCAACCTTTGTTCATTATTAGGCATAATGCCTGTAATTCAAGCCACTCCAGAGACCGAGACAGGGGGATCTCAAGTTTGAACCCTGCCTGAGCAACATAACAAGACCTTGTCTCACAATAAAAAATAAAAAGCTGTGGGTGTAGCTCAGTGGTAGAGTGTCCCTGGGTTCAATTTCCAGTACTCCAACACACACACACACACACACACACACTCACACACCAATGAACTACTGATACTTAACAGAATAAAAACAGATTTCCAGGGAACTTCACTGAGTGAGAAAAAGTTCATCTCAAACTATTGTATACTGTGATTCCACTTATGTAACACTTACAACAGGATTACAGAGATGGGGAACAGATTCACAGTTGTTTCATTAGTGGGCAGGAGTGGGATAGTGTGCAGGGGGGAAAAAAGGACAGCAGGAGGGGACAATGCAGATAGCAGTTCACATCTCGACAGGTAGCAGTTACCTAACATGCACATGTGATAACAAAACCTTAGAGGGCTAAATACACACACACAAGTAAGTGCAAACTGGTGAGATCTGAAAAATGTTGACTAATCACAGTGTTTATTTCATAGCTGTGACACTTTCTATAATTCTGCAAGATCTTACTATTGAGGAAAACTGTGATAAGAGTAGTTTGATCTTCTCCATATTATTTCTTACAACTACATATGAACCTGCAGTTGTGTCAACATATAATATATCCAAAACATACAGAGGATGAGTAGAAGGAATATTTGATATGACATATTTGCCCTTTTCTTAATCATAATGAAAATTCACTTTTAAAGTTGGAGGGAATAAAATGGGCACTATTCCCAGATGATCCTTTATGAGCACAAATTTATGTATTTTTCTTAAATGTTAGAAACAAAATAATATATGATAAACATGATAAAACACAGGGATACATAGTATAAAATGAAAAGCATGTTTCTTTTTTAGCTCCAGCCTTACTCTACACGCAAAGAACTATATTTTAGCCATTTCTACTTTGAGTTCTTGGAGACATTTCCCCTTAGGGTCTGGCAGGCACATGAAACCTGACGCATATGCATGAAATGTGCGGAGTATCCCTGAGTCCCTCAAAAAAGGACAGCCCACTCCATGCACTGGCACATCTCCTGGCTCCCACTCCATCTCCTGATTCCATGAATGCTCTTTAGTTTTTTTTGTGACCTTCACCATTACCAGTCTAGTGTAAGACACCACCACTCTCACCTAAGTGAAATTATTTAAAACACAGCCAACTGAAAAGAAATACAAACACGTTATCTCACACTCAGTGCGATGGATAAGGTAGACTGTCAACTTGATTGGCTTGGGATCTTCCCAGGGAATTAGCAAAGCACGCTTCTGAATATGTCTGGGTAGGTCATAAAGACATGACCTTGGGGTCCCTATCTGATCCCTCACCCTTCTCTCTGGTATTGTTCCTCTGTTCTGCTTCCTGGACACCATGAACTAAGCAGCTATGCCCTTTCTGTGATATTCTCACATGGGGCCAGCCGACCACGGACTGAATCTTTTGAAGCTATGAGCCAAATAAACCTCTCAAATTGCAGGTATCAGGTAATATGACCCAGCAATAGGAAAGCTGACTGTCTTCAGTAGCCTGCACATTCATGCCTCTACTTTTAGATTCTGTGTAACTGTAATAGCTTCTATGTTACATGATACCACAGTATATTTTCAAGATCTCAAATGATTAAGGATATATGCAGACTCTCTACCTGTCCGGGATATTTGGAAGAGCCTCAGTTTGTAAAATTCCCCATCTTATGTTTCCTGCTCAGAAATCGGCTGAGTACTAAAATGCACGCATGGACTCCAGCTTCTGCCATGTGCAAGCATGGCATGCTGACTTGGGACAGGGTGGCACATAGGAGGAGCGACCGGGTGGAATCCATTCTGACAAGGGTGATGTAAAGACTGAGTTTTGGGAGGAATCTGTGACCTGAGCAGTGACACCCATGCCCTGTGTCCCGAGCAGGAGCTATAGATACTGTGCCCAGCAACAGGAGCAGTGGGGGCAGTAGATCCTGAAGGGAGAACTGAATTGCATGAACAGATGCTCTGTCAGTTTCTTAAATGTAAGATGCACCATCGCAGGGTGTGTCATCTGCCAGTTGGTGCTGTAACTGCTAGTGAGGGTAGCTGTTTCTGAGCGCACCAGGAGAGTAGTGAGTGCATTAGTGTTGGCACAATGCCTTACTTCTCAAAGGAGGAGTACAGTCATGGAACCTGGTGAAGGAACTTCCATGTTGGTAAGCTAGTGCATGTCCCCTTGTGGCCACCTTGTTCATGAACCCCTTAGCCATCAGTAGTGGTCCTGCTGGACCTGAACAGTAAAAATCTCTTCAACATTAAGGGCCTTTACTGGCAATACCACTTCGATGGTTTAAGTATAAAATGTTCCCTAAAGTCTCATGTATTCAGAGGTGGGGCTTCTTAAGGTGACTGGATCATGGGGGTTCCATCTATGCTCATCAGTGCTGAAGTCCACTGATGAGTTCACGGCTAACTGTGCTGTTAGAAGGTGGGGTCTGGTTGGCGGCGGTCACTGGGGGCATAACATAGAAGCATGTACGCTTGTCCCTAGTTCCTCCCTTCTGTTTCCTGGCAACATGAGGGGAGCAGCTTTCCTCCACCATGTCCTTCCACCATGATGCTTCTGCCTTGAAGCCAGCCAGCCACAGACTGAACCCCCTAAGCAACGAGCCCAATTAAACCTCTCCTTTAACATGTAGGTGTCAGGTGCTATGTCTCAGCAGTGGTAAAGCTAACGCAACACTGTTGTGGCCCACTGTGAGCAATCATCCACATTTCTCTTCCCCAGATCTGTCACCTGTTATTTCCAATCTAATTACTCCCCAGTCTCTGACCTCTCTCCAAAGCAGTAACCAGAGCCCTGCCTCAGTCTAGCTCTCTAAGTCTGGCCAGTTTTTCTTCCAAGCAAAGAAAACTGCAAGATGCATCCCTCCACATTCCACAGGGAGGCATTTCCCTGCCTTGCTGTCATCCCTAAATGGGCTGTGCTGCTATCGCCACCCTCTCCAGGTCTGTGCCAGTGCACTACTCAGGCCAGTCACAGATCGGGTTCACGTTTCCTTCCTCAGTCCATGGCCCTAAGAAACCCGCACATGCTGACAACGTGGGTCACAGATGGATGATGATGCAGCAAGAGGCAACATCCCAGGAACTGAGCACAGGCTTTTTCAGGCACCCACTGGATCTTTGAGGGGCTTAAAATAGGTGCAAAGATAGCTTTCTGATATGGCTGAGTTCCCCACAGGGCGAATGGCACAGTTGATGCCACTGTGCCTTGCCATGTTTCTGTTTTCTGATGTGGTAAATGGAACAAGAATGCTTTCTTTGCCCTTTGGGAATTTGCTAATATAAGGCAGGAGCTTCCAATTTTTCCTACCAATTTAATCTTGACTAACATAATTTTTAAGAATAAGAGATACCTAGCTTTTCTTTCCCATATCACTTACCATTTTCCCCCATAGTTTTCTGAGAGAATGGCAATCATCCTTTCTACTGATCCCAATATGGCTCGGTGAATGATCACAGGTCTCTTTTTATCATCTCCATCCTTACTAAAAAATAAAAATAATACATTTCAGTATTTTCCAAGGAATAATTTTATTGTCTTCTTATTTGATTTAAATTTTTTGAGATAGGGTCTTTCTATGTAATCCAGGCTGACCTTGAACTTAGTCCTCCCAAAGGTTGGGATTATAGGCAGGCAGCACCACACCTAACTTCTTTATATTTAACTCTGGCTAGAGATTTAGTGTTTCTGAATATCTCTCTATTGACATTATTTGTTTTGTTTGGTGGCTGTTTTGTTTCTTCACACAAAAGAATGCTTTGGTTGCTTCTTCATTTATTTTAAAAACACTTTTTATTAGAGAACATTGAAAACACACAAAAGTACAGACGGTATACCTGTTCCTGCCACTACCCTAGCCCCACCATAAACCTCACTTTTCAAAATGTTTCTTGATATTTGTTCTAGAAGTTACTGGTGAAATTCCTTTCACAGGCCTGAAACTCTTAAGACATGCACTTTACATTTAATGACTTCTTCTCCTTTGGGGGAAAAAAAGTGGAAAAATGCACATTATGACCTTTAATTTTAATGAAATAGGTCACTCCAAAAATCTATGCACAAGTTTCCTAGAAAGATAAATTCCATTTTATTGCAACAAATATAATATGTTCCTATGAGAAATTTTTATCCAAAAATCATATCAGTTAGGTACTACTAAAACACAAAATAAAAAGAGACTCCTTTCTTAAGCTCACTTCAAGTGAGTTATAATTGACTATTATCACTGCCTATCATTTTGCTAAGGGCAGGCAGTAGCACATCCACCTCTTCCCAACTACCTTGAGATACTACCGCTGCTTTCTGATAAATGATGCTTGTCATAATAAATTTCTTTCTGCCCACTGCACAGGAATGAAGGTTAAACTTCACTTGATGCTTTTCTGCAAGGTTGAATGCAACAAATACAGTAATACATATCTCCATGGTTTCTGAGAATAAACCCTTACTGGACTATAGTGCTAACCCTGATGCTTCTCTCTTCTTTCCCTCAACCTGTACAAACCTCGTAAGTTCTTCCTCCAAACTATACCCTGTACACCTCCACTTTGTTCATTTCCACTACTGCCGTCTGGTTCTAATCACAACCATTTCTGACCTACCTACCGCCCCCTGCTTCCGCTTCTGCTCTGCCCTTCACATGCACTGAAGACAGCTGGCTGCCTGGCTGATCTGTTTCTCCTCCACATCCTCCTCGGATGAAAAGTGGTTGTTCACTTACCAAGAATCTTAACAGGAAAATATTCTACCAAAAATTACTGGATTTGAAATATGCCAGTATTTTTTGCCTTTTCTCCTCAAAAGGAAACCTACAGCACTGGATAATTTTCACGACAAATTCTACCAAACATCAGAAAGAAATAGCATCAATTCTGTGTAATCTCTTCTAGAATACAGAACAGTATGGAATACTTTCCAACTTGTTTTATGAGCCTCATCTTACACCCCCAAAAATGCAAAACATCTTACATCTGAATTTAACACTTAATCTTAAAAAACAAAATTAAGATAAAACAGGAGAAAAATCTCACAGACCCTTTGCAGCTCTCTGAGAAATCGTCTTGCTCTGCCTTACAGATACTTAGCAGCCTGGTCCATATTTTCATGGTACTTTGTTCAGATCTCTAATTTTATGCTTGCTTATCTTCCTTTCCCCACCAGAGCACGTCCTCAGGAAATTGAAGTTGATCCCTGCTAGGGTCTGGATGTGGTTTGAGTGTGTTCTCCACAGGTTCATGTGTGGAAGCTTGGTTCTCATGCCTTAGATGTGGCAGTGTTGAAAGATGGTAACTTTTTCTCAGTGTGCTATAGCCCTAGACCAACAGGTGGTAGATACCTTTACAAGGTGAGGCCTAGCGAGAAGTGATTAGCTCCCTGGGGCATTAGCTTTAGAAGGGATGAGTGCAGTTCTCACAGAACTGGGTTATTTCTCAAGAAAGTGGGTTGTTCCCTTCTACATACAGTCACTCCTAAGTTCTCTACCATGTTGGGAAGCAGCCAGAAGGCACTCCTCAGAGCTGGTGCCACGCTGCCTGGACTTTCCAGCCACCAGAATCAGCCAAATAAACCTCTCTTCTTTTATAAAGTACCCAGCCTCAAGTATTTTGTTACAGCAACAGAAAATGTACTAAGAAGACCCACTAACTAGATTACACATAGGTAAACAAATATATACTATACAGTATATATATAAGACATCCATTAACACTTATTTTTATATTCATGCTCAGATGACAACTAGGATAGTAGTACTACATTATTTATCATATTCACTCACCTAACATATGTGAGATTAAATCTAATAGGCAATTGGAAATCCAGTTGAATTGTAGCACACTGATGGTATCTGCCAATAGCATCCTTGATTTTTATATCAATCTGTAAATTAAGATGATGTTTGCTTAGAAACACTTATTTGTCTTTTAAATTTTACTTATTTTAAGTAGACAGTCTACTTACCTTAGGGCCATAAAATGCTCCATCTCCTGGGTTTATTTTCCATGGTTTTCCAAATTCCATCAAACTATTCTGCAGTTGCTGTTTATTTTAAAGAGGAGAACATTTAAAACCTCTTCTTCATTGTATACTTTTATCTTTTTATCATATAGCTCACAAAAAGTACCATAAACCTTAATTACCCCTGTGTCCTACACAGTGACAGTTTCTGTCTCTTGGTAAGAGCTCCAAGACCCTGACTAGCTAGTCTCCTTAGAGGTGGGGTCTCTACACATGAGAAAGCAGGAGGGCATTCACCTTGCTCCCTCTTCCGTGCTGGGTGCGGGGTTGGTGGTGAGAAGGCCAAGTCAGCAGGCGCTGCCATTTCTCTTTTGCTCTTTTTCTGCCTCTGCATATGCAGGTGGGGGAAGGATCCCCTGTGATTTACATGGGTATTGAGGGCGGCAACCCACTTTGGTCTTTACCTTAAGCTATGACGTGCTTTTTTTATTGTTGTTTTTTTGAGACAGGGTCTCACTATGCAGTTCAGGCTGGTCTTGAACTCACTTTGTAGCCCAGGCTGGTCTCAAACTTGCAAAGATCCTCCTGCCTCAGCCTGCCAAGTGCTGGGATTACAGGCGTGTGCCACCATGCCCGGATCCTATGATGTGCTTTTAACATAGTTTGCAGTGAGATTCTCAATGCTGAAGGTATATTAATAAAGGGGTTTCTGAATCCTCTTGGTATTCCTGTGTACACAGCCTTCTTGGGAAGAACCTATTATTCCTAGGTCTTTGGCCAGAATATTGTCAAAATGCCACTCAAGCCAGGTGTGATGGTGATATACCCATAGTTCCAGAACTCAGGAGGCTGAGGCTACCCCTTCACCATGCGTTCAAGACCAACTTGGGCAACATACTGAACTCAAGCACAGCTTGAACTACACAGTGAGACCCTGTCTCAAAACCAAACCAAGAAAAGAAACAAACCCAATCCACTCCCAGCCTCTTGTCAACATCTTTACATACTGGTGCCTGGGAGAGGACACATTCTCGGGAGTGGAAGTAGACCTGGGCCATGGAGCTGCAGTGAGAGTTACCATGGGGCAGACTCCTTGTGTCTTGGCAGGCTTTGCAGGGTCTCAGCCAGGATCTGGTCTTGCAAGAGGCAAAGATCTCCTTCCTGAGTTCTTGGGAGTGTCCCTTACAGGCCTAACTTTATAGAAACACTGCCTTCCTCCTTAGCGCCGGGAGGGGACCCCTTTCATACAGCATTTCCCAGGCTTGGGAAGCCCCTGCTAATTCCACTACTCTGAGAAGGGATACTGGTACATGTTCCCAGAGAAAACCAGGCCCTCTTACAGCAGTAACTAAGAATGGAAAGAATGTTAGAAGCTCCCAGAGTGGAACCATTAATCCACATTTGTCAATGCGTCAGATGAAGAAATGCCTAGTTGATTTATAAAGCATGTTTCTGGTGTGTCTGGGTGGGTCATGAGGCAGGACTTTGAGTGGCAGGACCATAATATATGGTCCCTGGCACTGTTCCCCTGCTGCCATGTCACACCCTTCCCCCATGATGCTTCTGCCTTGGAGCCAGCTGGCCATAGACTGAATCTCTGAAACCAGGAGCTAAATGAAACCTTTCTTCCTTGAAGTTGCAGGAATCAGGTACTGTGTCTCAGCGATGGGAAAGCTGAGTAACACACAGGGCACTTAAAAGCCAAAGACAGGCCAAGCTCTGCAGTGAGGATGACAAGCACCAGGCCTCTGGAGACCCAGGGACAAGGCAGGTTAACAGGAGCAGACAAAGCTAAGAAGTCCAGACCAAGGAAGCTTCAAATTTATATAAAGCATGCTTCTTTCAAACCATTTCAGAAACTTCTGAAGACACAAGAAAACACTCAAATATTTATCTCACTGAGTCCCTCTTCCTGAGTCCCAGGGGAAGAGTGGTCAGTACGAGAGGAATCTCTCAGAAATAATAGCAGGCTCATCAGGCCCATTCCTGATGGGCAGTCAGATGTCTGACTGACAATGGGCTTGGCTGATAAACTATTTAGCCACGTTAGTTAAAAGAGAATGAAAGGGTGGGACTTCTACCCCTTCTCTCCATGCCAGGCCCATTCCAGGTCCACCTTTTTTTGCCTCCCCATCTCCCACCCATTTCCACATGACTGGAGTGCTAATGACAACGATGATGACAAGGACACTACCACCTGACATCCACTGGGCACTTCCCTGAGCCTGACACTATGCCCAGCATCTGTTTCTCTCGGGCTCACTACCACCTTAGGCAGCAGGGTTATCACTGTGATGACCACGAGGACCCCATCTCTACCACCACCAGTTCACGCTTGATCCTGATGCTCAGAGGTCTTCCATAATTCCACCCACAGAGCTAAAAGTCTGTAAGGAGGTAACACAGATCTGAGCCAAGTTTTTGCATCCCTTTTTCCTCTTTTTGCTTCCATGCAGCTGGTAGGCAAATTTAGTTAGCATCCTTCCTGGGGTAAAGACTATCTCACTGGAGTTTCTTCCTCCACGCTGTAGATGTGGAAGAGTTTAGGACAGGCATGGGGGCAATGGAGAGGAGACCCTATTCAGAACTCGGACCTAAAATGCCTGGGTGCACTTCTGTACAGCCTCGCTACTATGAACAGCACAAAAGAATGTTACACTATTAGTGCAGTGTTCATTTGATCCTGTCCTATTTCTCCTAACCTATGTGTTCAGCTCCTGCGAGTATTCCAGGAAGAGGCGGCCTGACAGGCAGGGTAGAAGATCTGGCCACACCAACCTCATTTCTAATAACAACATAGGAGAGATCCTTTTCATGTTTAGTAAGGAAAAAGCATACAATGAGCTCAATTTTACTTTTTCAAAGCTGAAATGTGATGTCTGAGTGTCTCCAGACAGAGGGTGGGCACAGCAGGCTCGGCCTGTAGAGGGGACTAAAGCATCAGATCTGTGTCAACAGCCAGAACCCAGAACCCCAGGATTCTGGAGTCAAACTAACAAGGCATCACAGGCAACACTTTAAAACTAATCAAATGAGGAGTTACTGCAAATAGGAGGAGTCTGTTAAAAACTTAAGCTGGCTATTTGTGATTGGCACCAAAAAAGACTATAAATTAAAACCTGACATAAACTTTACCATGTGAAACAAATATATTGTTCTTATTATTGCCACTGTTTCAAAGAGAAATTGATAATCATATTCTACAATCTGCATATTTATCCCCTAACTTTTAACACTTCTAGTGAAGTTTTTCAGGTGCTCTTGAGGAAAACGAGGAAGCCCGTTTCCTCTTACCTTCTCAGCTTCATCCCACATTTCCTTCTCTCCTAGAAAGTTTTCAGGCCTTGTTGATAGGTTTAATACAAAGGAAAAGCCAAAGGCTGAATAAACAGACTGCAAAAACTGCAAGCACTCCTTTATTTCTTCTTCAATCTGAAAGCAGAACATGTGAAATACTCAAATAGAACACCAAAATAAAGGCACCTATGGTATTTTTTTAAGTAAAAAAAATTCTTTGTGTCACATGGACATGAAGCCTCATACTAGTAGAGTAGGAGTCACTGTTTTGGTCACCCACCCATTCCTTCCTTGTACCATTTCCTTGTGTGCAAACACATGCAGGCTGCCCGAGGCTCCTAACCATGGAGAGAGATGAGAAACAAGCAGGCCAGGGCACTACACCATGAAAAGGATGGCACACAGGAGAGACGGATGGGAGGGCTGCCCACGGAAGGTAACAGCCACACTGCCTCCAGAGGAAATTACTGACCTACTCACCCAAATGAGAGAACCACCAAATGCTGGAGCTGAATGAATCCTCAGTGACTAGACCAAAATCTTAATTCACAGCATCTCAGAAAGACTAAGGGATGTGTTCAGGCTAATGCCGAATCTGCGACAGTCACAGCTTTACTGTACTCTTGCCTACCTGCTCCACCGTGCAGAAGATGTGAGCGTCATCCTGCTGGAAGCGTCTGACTCGGGTTAAGCCACTTAAAGTCCCTGACAGTTCGTTTCTATGAAGAACTCCAAAATCAGCAAATCTAATGGGCATTTCCCTCCAAGATCGCGGACGATGGGCAAACATTAGACTAGAAAAGATACAGGAACACAACTTATACACAGCAAATTATGATTATATAAATATTAAGAAATTACAATTAAGTCTTCAGATTTGTGCACTTATTCTTAGATCATCAAGTTATAGCATTTATCCTATGACTTACAATTGGTGTTGTTATTACCATTAGTACTCATCACTGGGAATCTAAGCAAGGGCCTTGCAAATGCTAAATAAACACTCTCTCATTGAACTACACCCCAACCCTCTTCTAGGAATTACTGAACCTTATGTTCACATCACTGCTGCACTCTGCAAATTAACTCTGTTACAGCTTCTGGAAATGCTACTACCTGTTTTCATGTATCCAGTGAATCTTATTTAGTGTTTATAATTCATTTTAAAGACCCTTGTATAGGATTACTAACCAGTCTTCAGATCAAAGGATCACTTAACTCGAAAACACAAAACAAATACTAAAATCTAATTATGAAGTGTGCTATGTACTCATAGAGAATCTGCTTCACTTTTAATACTCACCAGTGTCCTGGACAATTCATGGGCTTAAGGGCGAAAGTATCCTTTTCAATATCAAAGGTAAACATGTTCTCACTGTAATGCTGCCAGTGGCCTGAGGTTTCCCAGAGTTTACTGTTGTACACATTAGGAGACAGCACTTCTGTGAAGTTACGGCTGTGATATTCCTCCTGCAAGTAAAGGCACTAAGTGTTAAACCCCATTGGAAAGATCATAATTCCATGCAAAGTAACACTATGAGTACAGTAAATCTTTAAAAAACTCAAGATCATGTCAAATTAATTCATGGATTCATGTGTCTTCAGTTTTAGCTGTGGTAGTTTCTAGACCATGAAAAAAGATTCGTAAGTGCACAATAAAATATTCATTAGTGTTATTTTGTACAATATTGTATAGCATAAATGTTTTAGTACTCTGAAAACTAGTAATTAAAATACAATAAACAAAGACTTTCAGGAAGATGGCAAACTGGTAAGCAGCAACAAATCAACCTCTCCAAGATCTGGAATCCAGACACTGGAAAATAACAACTCAGAGAATAAAAGGCAGGAGGTGGATCCCCAGGACCCAGAAAAGATCTGAAGGGAAAATTGGAGCCCATAGACAAAGTAAAGAGACAGACCACAATGCAGAAAAAGGAAGGTTAGGAGATGTCACCTGAAAGAGAAGCGCTAGAACACCTTCAGCTGTTCTGTCTGGGAGATTCTAGTCAGAGCTCAGAAGCCCAGAAGGCTAACAGAAATCTTGCCAGTAAAGACCAGGTTTGGGAGGTTTCTGCTGGGAAGAAGACCTGCATTGGTTGTTGGACTCGAGATGATGCGTGTTATGGCTTGGCAAAAAGTTTGTCTGCATTTTTCTCATGTCCAGAGACTTTGCCTAAGACTGAGATTAAGAGCGGCAGTAGACTGATTAATTTGGCAAAAGAAATTTCAAGGCAGTCAAACGTTGGGGAAGTGCCATGGCTATTGCTGGGGGCTTTTAGCCAGATTTATATTGAGAATCAAATACAAAGAGCCCAGCAGGATGATTTAAAATGTTGTGAGTTTGGCCAGAAAGGAAGCTCCAGTAATGCTGTGGACTGCAAAGATAAGGCTGAGGAGATCTCTATTGCTGAGAAGGAACAGGAGAATGAAAAAGATGGCCTAAAGAAATGATAGAAGAAA